GCGGCAGCTTTTTGCGCTTGCCTCCCACCGCGTCTCTCTCCTCTTCCTCCTCCTCCTCCTCCTCCTCCTCCTCGTCTGCTGCCTCAGACAGCGATTGCGGTGATGCCAGCGAGGGCGAACAGCAAAAGGCGTCGTCTTCGCCCGAAGATTCCGACCACGAGGCGACGGCTGCTCTCGACCACGACTCCGAACAAGATGGGCAGAAGAAGCAGCAGCCGACGTCCGACCAAGATAGTAGTGACAACGGACTGGAGTCGTCCTTGTCCGACGATGCCGGCGAGCTGGCGGACATGCCGGTGATGCCCCGCCCCGACGCCCGCAAGACCTCCGCCCGGAGAGCGCTCACGAAGGCCAAGGTGAAGCGCGCCATCCGCCGTGCGAAGAAGGGCACCGTTAGCGGTGGCGGCGGCGGCGGCTCCTCCTCCTCCTCTGAGAGGTCGGCCGCGGCGTCTTCATCAGACTCGGACATGGCATCGGTGGCATCCGATGTCAGCGGCAGCGGCGGTGGGCACAAGCACACGAAGAAGCCGGCTGAGCGCAAGAACAGGAAGAGCGGTGGCGGTACCTTCTCCCCCTCTTCCTCCTCCTCTGGCGATGATGAGCCCTCCTCCTCTGATGCTGCAGCGGGCAAGGCCAAGAAGAAGCGGGAGGGTAGCAAGGGTAAGAAGGGCAATGGCCGGGGGGCAAGCGCGAAAGCAACGAAAAAGAAATCGACGAAGAAAGGGGCGGCGGACGAGGGCGGGTCGGACTTGGTGGATTCGGACGAAGGAAAGGAGGAGGCGGGGGCGGCGGGCGCGGGCGAAGCACCTTCGAAGGTCGTAAAGGCTGTGGTCCAAGAGGAGCTCGACGTGAGTCTCACGAATCGAAATATCTGCTCTTGTACCCACCAGCACTTTTTCACGGTTGTTTTCCCGCTTGATGAGATTTCGCCTCTGGTCAGCCTTGTGTGAGTTTGTTCGTTTTTCGGTGCGTTTTCCTGTTCGAGTGCTATTCAGGTTCAGATCTCTACTGGTGTGCTTTCAGTTGCGGTCGTGTTTTGCGTTGCAGCTCGTGCGTCGTTCGCTCCCCACGCCGACGCGTGCTTGGCCAAAACGTCAACTTGTGTATGACGCTACCTCCACATGCTTGTCTCTCCCTACAGGACGCCAACGAGAAGAAGGCGGCGGAGAGGAAGAAGGCCGCGGCTGAGCGGCAGCGGCAGCTGGACGCTCTCCGCGTCATGAACGCGGCGCAGCTCAAGGAGGTGACGCGCGCGCAGCAGGGCACCCTCCTCGCCAAGATCAAGGAGCGGCAGGACGCCCTCCGCGCCGCAATCGTCGCCAACGCCAAGAAGGAGCTTAAGGCCCTAAGGGCGGAGGCGCGCAAGGCCGCCGGCATCACCGAAGAGGAGGACGAAGAGGAGGACGAAGAGGAGGACGAAGAGGAGGAAGGCGATGGGGGAAGAGAGGAGGGGAAGGGAGAGGTGGAGGGAGAAGCGGGGGGGCTGGAGGTCGAGGGGGTGGTGGAGAAGGAAGAGCGCGCCGTCGCGGCGGCGGCGGAGGTAGCAGAGGGCGGGGATGAAGGGGAAGAGGAGGAGGAGGAGGAGGAGGAGCAGGAGCGGCAGGGCGAGGGAGAGTGGGAAGAATGCGAACTGTGGGAAGTCTTGGAGGCGGTNAGGAGGAGGAGGAGGAGGAGGAGGAGGAGGAGGAGGAGGAGAAGGACAGTGATTTCGCCACGAAGGCGAAGGGTCCCAGCAAGGGCACGCTTGTCCCTGCGGAACATGGAAGCGCATCCGGCGAGAGCGGGTCGTCTGACTCTGACTCGGATGATTCTGAGGTGAGAGCTTGGGAACGGATGTTTGGAGTCGGGGGGAGGCCTATCCGCAGAACAGCTGTTTTTTTTTGCAGGTGCTGCAGGACAAATACGATGAGGCTTTTTTTGCGTATGTGCCGGTATTTTGTTGGCCTTCGTTGCTGCTCATCTCCACTTTCTCTTTCTCGCCGTATTTTCTTCGGCCAGAGTTTTCGCCGTCAGTCGCTTCTCTAACCCTGACTGTGCATAGTGTTGAGATACTCACGAGGAGGAAGGTGACCGGCATCCCGCTCCTTTTCCGTCGTGTGTTGACTCTGAGTGTCCAAATTCTCATCAGCCTTTCCTCCGCCACCCCGCCGTGGTCTCCCTATCCCTTCCACACCTCGTGTGTTGGCGCGACGCTTTGCTTTCGCGGCGAGGCAGCTGGAAATCCTTCCCGCAGACCCGACCGCCGCCCTTCGTGCCTTGGTGGGACGACAGCACTCGGCAAGCGCCGCCGCCGCTGCTGCTGCTGCTGCTGCTGGGACCGCCTCCTCCAAGAACAAGAAAGGCGGCAGCTCAGCGGCGGCGGCGGTGACGACGGCGGGAGCACCGGCAACGGCGGGGACCGCCGCCGCCGCCGCCGGCGGGCGGGCGTTGGCGGCGCTGCCGAAGGGCATGCGGTTCAGCTCCCCGAAGGCCGCCGACAAGAGCCGCAACGCAAACCGAAAGCGACTGGCCGCGAGCGCGCGCACCGTCGCCAGCGACCGCTGGGCCGCGCAGCTGGGTTTCCGGGACGGGCAGGAGCACATCCGCGAGCTCAAGTGCGAAAGCTACTTCCGTTACCGCGTTGTTTTTCTGTGATGTTGCGGTCGTCGATGCTGTTGCTTCTCTGCCAGGAGTGCTACGCATGGAAGGGGGGGGGGGGGCCG